GGGTTAAACTCAAAATACATTTTTAATAGGGTTGTTTAAGCAGTCCAAAGAATATAATATCCACAAAGGCAAAATGAATCCAGAGCAGCATGAAACACATGAGGGCGGGTTAACTTACACAGAGACAAACAATGCTCTTTATAAATAAATCTGAATTGAGTAGAGTTGAGAACACAAAAGAAAATAGTTCCATGTACACTAAAAGACTGCAATACTATGTGTATTTATGAAGGTGCCAGAGAACCCAGCTGTGTACAACAATTATGATACAAACCTCCATTAGAGAGAAAGAAGACATAGGAAGGATTTAATTTTCCTGTGACCTACCCATACAGTAATTAAAGATTGAGAACAGAGTGTGTTATACCCAGGTGTACAAACTGAAAGCCTTCAAGCTTGATGAACTGTGCCATAAAGTGCCTTCACATTGTAGAGCATCACAGTTGTCTGTTCTCTGCAAATCACATCCTGTGTCTGAAAAGATCAGCTGTGGAGTGGTGCTGTGTGGGTGTTGGGGTCTGTAAATGTGTATGTGTGCATCTATCTTACTGTCAGGTGTGATTTGATCAAAAAATACATGTGACAAGTCTGAACTGAGGCTACCAGCAGCCAAATACAGCGCACAAGAACAAACTGCTACAGCAGCAAACACCAACTACACTTCATCATCAGCCTTTCTACAAGACCTATTGTCTTCCAGTCTCAATGGGTATTTTCCTACCTCGCAGTCCTTCCAGATCTCAGGGTCTGTCTCTCCACTGCTCTGGATCTCCTGGACCAGGGCCCTAAGGGTCTCCAGGGAGCTTGGATTGATGAATGGTAGGGTCTTCCCTTGTTCAAAGGCTTCATCTGTGCTCAGACATAGGCTCCTGTAAAACAAATTGGATATTGTTAAAATATTGTATCAAGTATTAAAATATTAGATATTAGATTAGAATATATTAGATATGTTTCTCCAGCCAGTATTATTTTATACTGTCTGGCAATATTATTATTATTATTATTATTATTATTATTATTATTATTATTATTATAGCTGAGCAGTATTTTAGAGACAACTAAATAAAATTATAAAAGTCAAAAAAGATCTCTACTTCTTAGTTCAGCCAATATCTGCAGCCTATCACAGACTTTTCAGTGTCTGATATTTTGTTCAACATGCGCCAATATTAAAAATATTTTTATGCAACATAAGGCAGAAGAATATCCATCTGTATATTTAAAAACAGTGTTTATCTTGAAGAATAGCTCTGACACGTTTGTCTGCAGTACATCCAGCAGAGTAACGTCACAGCTGAGCAGCAGGCAGTGTCAAGCACTGGACGTTATCTTTAATCTTTGAAATGTTTTGGTGGAAATTAACAAAATAGCCCTATACTTCCTCTTCCAGTTTAACACTCTATATGTGTAACTATAAATAAATACCACCCAATATGTATACTGTATGTATAGTATCTACTTGAAAGATCCAGTAATCCACGTGCTCTACTACTTTTGATAGAATGCTGCTTAAAGATAGCTTTGTCTGTACATGTCTAAACTCAATCTGTTCAGAGGTTTTCCAAACACAACACAAAAAGGTCCACTGAACACAACAGAGTAATATCAGCACCTATTCAATTTTCCATTCCATTGAAATCTGAGAAATAATCATGTATGCAGTCAATTGTAGTTCTTAGAAAGAAAAAAAACTGTAACAGGAGTTTTAAAAGACCATAAATCAAAATTGACACAGAAAATTGCAGTCAATGCATCTTCATATTCAACACTCCTACATATGTTCAAATTTCCACAAGCATTTAAAGAGAGCTGTCACAATAATGGAGAAAATATTCTGCATAAATAGGTAGTAAATGTAAATCAATTTCCTTTTAAGCATTTAAATTTAAAAAAAAAACTGCAACAACACACCTGCATTAGGAAAAAAATATTCAAATATTTAATATTTTAAAAGGGGCAAGTGTTTCTTTTTTTATGCAGACACTTCCTCATACAGTAAGGAACTTAAGAGTTACGATACCTGATCTTGTTGCATGCTGGTGTGATGTCCATGGGCCTGCACTCCACAGTGCCTCCTGTTGTTTGGGAGGTTGTGCGTCTCCCCTCAGAGACAGCCAGTCCTGAGGCTGATGTCCCCTCAGAAGACACCAGCGAGTTTTCGCTCTCCTTGCCCACATCCCCATCAGCACTGACATGGCAATGGCTCAAAGCCCCTGAGCTGGACACATCCTCTGAGATACTGTCATCTGTGGACATTTTTATGGGCCCATGCAGAGGAAGTCACTCTGACAGCTAGGGACCAAAGGAGAAAAGTTCAGAGTGCGCTTAATCACACTTCTTGTATTTCCAGCTTCAACAACAGGAAGTGCTGCTGAACTGTGAACACGACAATGCATTAATACGTTAATGTATAATACATGTAAAAGCCAAGAAAAGACACCAAATCAACTCTTAGTTTTGATCTTAGATCTACTATCAACATTCAGTAACTGACATAAATATAAGCAACATAAATAAGACATAAACAAAAGCCGTGCACAATATGCAGATTTTTAAGATAATATGTAATTGTTCTTGCTTTAGCCTCTTCTGTCAGTCTGTCTGTCATGACCTGTGTTTGCTGTATGTGAAAGCTAGTCCAACATGGGCAGCTTTGACTGGACACCTAATCAACTTAGCCAACAACAAGAAAATCAACAGAGATAGAGCTCCACAAGCGGTGGGCTGGTTCATTTAGTAAGAAGCTACATTAGCTGTTCTATGGTGTCGGCCAGCGCAACGGATGCTGCAGACAGTTGAAGTTGCCTATAAACTCCACGGGAGCCTGGGTCAGTCAGGCTAAGTTACCAAGCTAGCACGGTAACTACCTCTGACTAGCAGTTCAAAATGGTTAGCTAGCTAGCTCAGTTTGGCTAAGTTGGTTTATGACAGGTTTGTAAGCACAGCGTAGGCACGCAGGAGAGCGCGGGTGAAACGATAGCGCACGCGGGTATATAATAAATGATATAAAACAGAAAACTGTGTCGCGCTGATTGGCTACATATAATAAACATTTAACCTACCCGTTAACTTGTATCATTATTTCATCCATATTTCTCTGTGAGTAGTCAAGCTGGCTAGCTGGTTGCTGGTTGGCTACTGCACTGCAGTGGTCGTTGGCTGCTGTAGCGTTCACAGCCCACATTGCTATTGGTCAAAATATTATCTGAAATACAGAGCTGTGATTGGTCGTTACTTTCACTCAGTGTTTCTATTGGTTATGTGGGGGACAGAGGCGTACGCATCTGTTGGGACCGTAGATAAACCAAAAGCATGAGGATTGTAAATTATCAATAACGGGATAAAGACAAATGTTTATTTGACTTAAAGTGTGGCTTTTAAGACAGATAACTAAAGTCATGAAGAGTTTCTGATTTTATACGCCTTGTTGTGTTTTAAAGTCAGTTTGCTCGATTCTTGAACTAGTGTGTGATGGGTTTCATATTAGACATTTCTCATTTATGGTGTAAAATAAAAGAGTTTAGCAACGATGCATGATTTCCATCGTTGCTAAACTGCATCTTTGATTGTATCGTTTTTTAAATATAGTTTTGTTAGTATTGTTTCAAGGGGTCTAGCAACTTATATAGTTGTCAAACAAAACACATTTTACTCAGGAGAGTGGCTCCTTTTTAAAGTACTTTTGAATGTAAAACAGTGACTACAGTATATACAGTTGCATATAATATAATTTGGTTTCAGCACAGTCAGACCTGTACACCAAACCATATTGTGTGTTTGTGGAACAACCAGAGTAAAAAGTTTCAAAAAGTATATGAATCCATTCATCACATTCTCATTTTTGAAATGTATTTGAAATTTTGTACTTATTTGTTTGTTTGGTTGCATTTTGATTATTCAAACATGTGGAGGAACCCCATGTCCACTGTCACAACGAGTCAGATGTTCTATTTTGATTTCAGATCTTGCATCTCCCATTTGGCTTGGCATTAATTTGCAGGTTTCTTAATTATGGGTATTTCACAATATCTGTGAACACAAAATATGTCACACAAGAATCCATTTTATATATTAGAGGCCTTAGAGAATATGAAAAATACTGCTTAAAGATAAAGCTGGGATATGTTAGCGGGGGGTGATTTATTGTCATACAGAAGTAACTCATCAGGTCTCAGAAGCACTTTGTCATCAAAATATTTGTCAATTAATGCTCAGTGAATAGCAGATTAATTGTTAATAACTGTTAAATGTTTGAGAGAAATATTTTCTCCCTTTTGGCATGGATAAGTCTATAGAACTCAGGCAGGCGTACAACCTACCTTGTGATTGGCAGGTCACCACCACATGAGCACTCGGTGCAGTTGACTTTCTGATTCAGCCTACTTTCATCTAGCTTTTAATAGTATTACAATGTGTTATATCATGATGGTTATGTCCATCATCATGGCAAACTAACCAACTGTTGATATATTTCAACCTGGACCAAAATGGTTTACTGATCCATCATCCATTCATCCAAAGAGATGTGTCATTATAGGTAGGTGCTGATTTATTAGTAGGTCAAATTTAATTAATTGACAGACAATCATTGGCCTCTATAATTAGCTATAACTAGTACAATAGTTAGCTGGGATAGGCTCCAGCGCCCCCGCGACCCTGAAAAGGATAAGCGGAAGCGAATGGATGGATGGATAGTACAATAGTGGGGATAGGTTAATTGATCAATCTAAATTGCCCATAGGTGTGAATGTGGGAGTGAATGATTGTCTGTCTCTATGTGTTGGCCCTGCGACACACTGGCGACCTGTCCAGGGTGTACCCCGCCTCTCGCCCTGTGACAGCTGGGATAGGCTCCAGCACCCCCCGCGACCCTGAAAAGGACAAGCGGAAGCGAATGGATGGATGGATGGATAGTACAATATACCAGTAGTCTCTTGAACCATGTGTACATGGGAAAAAGTAATGTACTTTGAATACGTACAATGAATCATGTTGACAACTATATTGAAAATACAATTTATTACACTGAGTAATAAATACATACAAAGATGCAAGTTAACAGCATTTTCCTTTTTTTCCCTCCCTTTAATACCAAAACCAACCTCAACACGAATCAACCGATGCATTTGGCACGTCTCTGTCCCTCCCTTACTTAGCTAGGTGTTAAAGGGGTCTGAAAATCAGACCAACCACTACCAAAAAAACCCAAAGTTTAAAAAAAATTCAAAGAAAAAGTCCTCCCCATCTACACCTGTATACTCCATGCAGTGTCTACAATTAACCTATGGGCCCATTTGCATGCATAAACCAATGCTTTAAATATGAAGTCAAAACTATGATCCAAAAAAATGGGGCATAAAAAAAACAACCAAAAAACAAACAAACAAACAAACACATGATATCTCTCATTTTAGTTCCAATAACCCACACATGATTGAAATTATCCTCCAGAGCTCTCAGGAGTCACAAATTGCATTACTGTATTTCTTTTTTTTTTCTCTCTCTCTCTCGAGGAGCTTGCTGTTCCATCCTTTGTTCATTTACTTCCTCCTTGCAAAGGAAACGCCATGCAAGTTATTTTTTCTCCTCATGAAAGGTAGTTCTTGCAGGGAGGAATGGGCGTTTTTAGCTAGGACCTTGCATTCCTCTCAGTCTCAGCCAAGCATTCACGCACCAGCCCCCTGGCATGGATTATTCCTTTGAAGAAAAACAAATACACATTTAGTCTGAGAAATGTTAATGCTTGCATGCTGCTTTTGTATTGCTCTGCATATCAAGGTTACCTCTTTTCAGTCGCTCCATTGCACTCTTACTTCCAGCGTATGTGGGTCTGATCTCCTTTCCGAGCTCTTCAATGATGGCCAGCAGCTCTGCATATTTGTTCTGAGGCACTTGGCTGCCAGTAGAGCCCTGAAGTTAAAGCAAAAATCAGTCAGGTTCAATACATTTAAACTGGTTTCTGGTATGCAAAATGGAGCCTTATCAACACAGTACAGTTTGATACTTGGTACAGTTTGATACCAAAAATTAGGACCTGTGGAGTCCGGGGTGGAGAGTAGTGTCTAAAATTGACCTTCATAATGTCCCAACACTACAGCAGACACAGAGGTATTTCATGTCACTATAAGAGTGACATAAGCAGCCCTGCTTAAAATCTCTAAGGAATCACCACTTCTTGATTCAGTTGTGCTGTTGCTGTGTAAAAGACCACCACTGGATATAAACAGGTAAAAACACTGCTTTTCATCATATGGGTGGTTTGACAGACTGTAAATGCAATTTTAATATACAAATATGACTTATGTTGAAACATGGACTGTAAAGTTGATATGAATATGAAGTAATTAGGCCAATGTTCTCCAGTTTTGCACCAATAAAACTCAACAAACAACACTCTTGTATCTTCCATGGCAATGAAGGAAATGTAAAAACTGGAAAAGTATGTTTGTTTGGTTTTGCCTTTACGAGCTGGGGTATGCAGTGAGTTTAGTAGTTACCTGTGAAAATCCCAGAGAAGGAGGTCCGTAGTCACTCAGAAGGGGCCTGTAGGACTGCAGCGTGGCCAGGTTAGCTGCTGAGGGAGACTGAAGGTTTGCAACTGTGGACAATTCAAAAACAACTCCTGTCAAAATCAAAATAGACACACAAATCAAATATATTCGAAACCAACCAACTGCTCAACTTTTAAAGCACTTTAGAGAACCTGTAAGGTTAAAAGGCACTACAAATAGAAACTGTTTGCTATTAAAGAGATTTTTTTAATGGAAATTGTATTATCAGAGCAGTAAAGCAGGGTTGTTTTTTTTTCTTATAGTCAGCAGTTTCACAAAGGAAGCTCTTCAGTGTTTGTGGTGTGGGAAACAGCAGGGAGGTGATGCTGATGGTGCAGGGCTTGACAGTGCATATGTTTCACATTACAGTTAAAGAAAAGATGCATATACTGTAAAAGGTTTTTAGGAACATGTGTGCGAATTAAATATACTACAGCATTCACCACAAGCAGCAATTATTCTTCTCACAGGTGTAGTATCTCCTCTCTGACACACACACACAAACACAAATACACAGAAAACATTAAAAGTACAACGCCGCAAGAAAGTGAGCCCAGGCGGGGTGAAGTGATTTTCTAGTTTCAGCAGCAGCAGTGCTTGTTACTGTCATCACACTCAAAACTTTTATCAAACCACCCATTTAGTGACCTCAGACATGAAGAAAAAGATTTTGAGTATACCAGTGAATCTTTATACTTTTCTTCCAAGAAGACAGACTTTATCATTTTTGAAAGTCATCTTGAACAATGAAGGTTGTTTAAAGTTCAGTCCAGTCCTTATACCTGATCACCTTCAAAGGAATGTTCTTTTTCTTTGTAAAGCCACCTAACACTGATCTATGAATCACTCAAGCTTGAAAAAAGGCACAAAACTTAAATTATCAAGGAGTTTTGTTACTACATGACAGAGGACTTAGCAAAGAACCAATTTAAATTCTGTCTTGAGGCACTTTTTTACCAGCAGCCTGCTGCAGAAGTAAACTATGAAAAATGCCAACAATAACACAGTTTGTCAGGTATAATAGAGTATATTTACACCAATATGGAGAACTTGGAGGACAAAAGAGGAGCAAAGGCCTAAAGAGCTATCTTTAGGCCTGGGTTATCTTATCTGAATGTCATATGTTTAAGAAAAAGGAGAAAAAAAAATCTGTCACAGGAGAGATGCATCTGGCCCTTCAGGTGATCCACCTACTATTCACCAAAGCCTCATCAGAAACAGGCTCAGCTGAAGCGTAGCTGTCAAGAAGCTGTTCTTAAGGAAGGGAAACTGGGGAAAAAGGCTCAAGTATGCCAAGTTACACAAGAAGTGGGCTGAAAATCACCAGCAACAGGGCGTTCAAATTTTTAGTTTGTGTACCGAGAAGGTCAGGAGAGCACTACAGCCATCTATAAAACAGGATGAAAGCTCTGTCATGGTTTGGGGATGCACTTTAGCCAGTGATGTTGGGGCTCTTGTCAAAATTAATGGATTGTGAACGGAGAAAAGTACCATCAGATTTTAATCCACTATGCAAACGTTTCATTTTTCACCATGATAATGTTCCCAAACATACTGGAGTAGAGCATACCTGGATACAAAAACATTTACTGGAACACAGTCAGTCTGACCTCCCCTTACTCTGAAGCAGTGTTCCTATGTTCCTAGTTCCTATGAGAGTTAAGGCTGTGTTGAAGAACAAAGCTTCAACTTTCGAGATTGTTGGAATTATATAAACTCTCTTTTTGCATTATATACTGTATTCCCATGTATGTTTGCACATGATTCAATAAATCTCTACATCCATTTCCCATTTTCCTAGCAAAATATAAAAAAATGAGGGATGGTTTAAGACTACAGTACAGTAGATTAATATAAACCTACTAAAAAAATTGTCAGTCCCATTAAAGATAAAGCTAATCAGCAGCTTATGAAGCCATAAAAACTACTTAAAAATTGTTATGTTGGACATAGGTGATATCATCTTTGGTATGACAGAGTCTTATGAAAATGGAGAGGTGATGAAATTTAGGAGGATTGACCTTTAGATGTATCTGGCAACCTTTATCTGGACCTATTACCTCTGGACTAAAGTAAAGCAAGTAGAAGTAAAATGGGTAAAATGTTGCAAAAGCACTGAAATATCAATATTAACAATCTCATAAGAGAATGTCTGTTAGGGGGGAAAAAAATCATTTTTTTGCACTTTATTCATGTGCTAAAAATAGAAATTATTTCCCTTGTTACTAATAGAATTTTTTGAATTACAATTTTACCAAATACCTACATAGCAATCTGTACACAACCATTAGCTTGAATTGGAACGACAATTCCTATTGTTATTTTTTCCTTCTCCTTCTTTCTTTTAATTCTTAACTCTTCCGACTACTCTTCCATACATTTCTCTATATAACACATACCTTTACTTTGAGCAGATTGATTTTTTGTATTGTTTTATGTTTTGGCTGGTAACATAAAGAAACTGGGGATCTGAACACTTCCATCCACGCACATGCACCTCCATAATCACCGCTCCCCTGTCGCTTTGTTCGCTTGTAATATTCAACCTCCAACACGAGATGTCCTCGAAGAGACATAAAAAAAATTCGAGGCAGATCAATCGGCAGCTCCGACCGAGGAGCATCATGGAGGAAACGGAACAAGGCTGGCTCAAGAAGACATAAGTGATACATTTTTGTCACCGTGTAACGGCACCCACCCGGCGGGACCGCGACCCCGGACGACGGATATCGACACTGTAGGAACCGCCGCCGACTCCTTTCACATCCCCACCGTGTTTCTCCGCCGACTTGTATCGCGGATGGCGCTCTTTTACATTAGTAATAATGGCGGATATGAATTAGCCTAGCTCCCAGGATCTGACCCTATATATATAACTGGACAAAAACTACAGACACGGTCTTTCTCCAGGTATTCTCCGAGACCCCGAATTTAACACTCGATTTAACAGACGGATACTTTGATTTTCTCCGCCGTTTTTTCCTTACCCTGGTTCCCAGAAGTTCCCGGAATGTGCTGATGGACATTGGGTTTGTAAGACATTCCCAAAGACATTGTAAATTAAAGAAATAAAAATGACCCGAAATTCAGTGAAGCGTCTGTCTCTCACTTTTTGTTTACAACAGCGGCACCGGCAAATATGGCCGTCACTTTATATTGACACCCACTGTGCTTTTTAACATTGCTACTATCCACTGCGGATTATCAAGAAAACGGTTAAAAGAAGCACATTTCACCACAAAGCGACCAAATTCGCGCACGCTTTAACACGCATTTTAAGCACATTTGCCAACCTTTATCCCGAGTTTACTTTAACGACACTTTTAAAATACTTTTTTTTAACAAAAAGTGTTTAAACGTGATATGTGTTTAGATGTTTTAAACTTAAATTTTTACACAACATTATGAAGGAGAAACTAGACTTTTAAAGTAGAATAAGCAACCAGACGTGGATACATGTATTTGAGGTTAAACTTTATACGCACTCATTTTTTAATATATATATTTTTTTCTTTTTTTTTTTAAGATAAAGTATGAAAGAAGACCAGCGTACCTGTCTTTGTCTGAGGGGTCGTATCCATTACTACTGATAGCAGTCTGCTTTTACCTAAAAAGAAAAGTAACTGGAGTTGGAAGCAGGCGCTCTTATTTCGGAGACTTGGTTATCTTCAGTTTTTCAAAAATGTGCTCAGGAGTCATTTCAGTTCTTCATGTCCCATCAGTACTCTTGGCCACATGGTTGGACACACAAAGGCAAAAGTGTGGTCCAATCGTTGCTCTCAGGGTCATGACCCGGACCCCTGCCCACTCTGCCCTCCCACCCCCCAAAAAATGAAGGCGCACGTAACACGGTGAAAAATGAACTGTTTAGCGTTAAATCATTTCAAAATAAACGTTCCTAATTTTGGTAATTTCAATCTTGGCGCAATGCAAGCAGTGGGAGCTCATCAATAAAACCACCATATAAAGCTTGAGGTTTAGAAGACAGCAGTTTTTATGTATTTTTTTTAATTATTATTTTACAAAAAATAATTCGTCTGACATTTTAAGGAGCTGGAGAATTGCTCCATAAAAACACCGTAACGGCCTTTCTGGGAGTATTTCACCATGCTTTCGTGTTTAATGCACTTTGTATTAACTTATGTGTGTGGGAATTATATGTAATGGCATTATATACTTAGTTGCCAGTTTATTAGCAACACCTAAAGTAATAGAGCAATAAATGCTCATATACACCTTACACGTTTAATATGCATGCATAATGCTTCTTCTGCACTTATTAACTACACTGAGAGCTGTACTTTAAGTACCTAAATAAATTAAATAAATACAGAGTAAGCACCTCGCAGCATTCTCACATGCAGGGTTTTTACTTTTCATAGGAATATTTTTAAGAGTTGCATTACTGCCTTTAATAATAAAATAGAGTGCCTACATTAAAAACAAAAAACAAGCATACCACACTTGTCATCTCATATTGCTAGTTGCTGTTTTTTGATAAACAATTAACTGATGTTTCTGGAAGAACTCAAGTCCAGTCATCTGTAACTGTAGTCTGCATATCTGGAGAATTCTATAATGTAATGCAGTAGCTTTTCAGTATTACAACACACAACAATGTAGAAGTATACCAAGCTTTATTGAGCATTGCACTCAGTCATATACAGGTAATTTTGAACTTTTGTACAACTCTTGTCAGTAGTGCAACTCGTGCAATAATGAAAGGAAAACACATTTAAGTCCTTCAAGTGTTTCAACTTCAGATGAGCCAAATCTGCCGTGACATTTTGACAGCATTTAAAAAAAAACAAAAAAACAAAAACCCCACAATGTTTCCAAGTCAGCCACCAGCCCAAAAGATAAAATAACATGAGTTGTTGGTCTGTACATGGTGCACATTCAAGTTAAAATGAGACTTCCAATTAGAGAGCAAGCTCTAACGAATAAGTTCTCCCTCCACCATAAAAAAAAAAAACATTTAAAAAAAAAAAGGATGCATGAACAATTTCAGTTTGACTCATTTTACAAACTGTACAAATGATACAAAGATTTGTTCTTGTTCCACCTAACAGTAACCACTCCACAGGTTTAGGAATCAAACACATCCTCTGTTTAATTATCACCACTGGGACAGCTCACGTATCCAGACTTTGCTCTGACCCTTCCAGGGCAGGTCGAGCATCACACAACATATGACTGAGGTGGTACAGGCTCAACAGAAAAAGTGGACTGTACAACAAACAGACCTTAATTACAAGAAAGCAGAGAAACTGGAGAACCATGTTTGGATGTTTGACACATACGAGCTGTAAATACAGCTAAACACACACAGAGCAACTGTACTGAGCAAAGATGTCCAAGGACCACTGAGTTCTAATCATGCATTTGCGATACACTGTAAAACTCTTGTGTTTTGGGTCTTCGTATGAGTTTAACCCCTGAGCAGATTTACATTTACAAAAAAACAAAAAAAAAAAAACAAAAACAAAATCAAAGTAACAAAAGAAAAAAAACAAAAAACTGAGAAACTGAGGAGGACACAGTGATGCAGACTGCTGTGAAACCTTGAACATATGCACACACGAAAAAGGCTGTTGTCAACAACATGCATTTCACAATTTTTCAGGAACCCTTTATCTTTTTAAAAACTAATCTTTTTTTTTTTTTGCCATTTTCTCTGTTTTAATAGCAGCCAGCTAAAGACCAAGTCAAGAAATAAAACTGTTGTAATGGATTGGAAAGGAGTACAATATTAAATAGTTTTCCCTCGACCCCAAACTATGACCTAAATTTTTCTATTGCCAAAAATTTTAAGCATCAAGTAAACATTTAACAACTGATTCACAGCACTGTAATGTAGCTTTAATTATTTAGCACTTTTGTCTATGATATTTCTTGTGAGCATTCAAATGCTGCCACGTCTGAACAAATGACGACACTGAAACAATCATTACAGTTGCCTAATTTATGTTCTTTGTTTCATTTCAGTGCAGTGTGAGTCTATACTGCACTTTGCAGTAATTTATGGTCTCTGCATTTTATCACCACCTGCCCCTTAAAGCCTCTGATAGTAAAGGGAAACACTGTATAGTAATGTTAAATGCCCTCACATGAAGAGATAAACTCTTAACACCATCTGTTTGTAGCTACAATAACGGCCATAAACCATTTATTAAATGTTTCAATACTTTAATAAACACTAAATTGTATTTATTGTACATAGTTCCCCAGTTTGCTTAATATTCATCATCTCTAACATTTTAACACCCTATGTATATAGAACTCAGAGGATAGCTGATGCAAAAATAACCAAATCATTTCTTTGTGAAGGTGACCAACTGCTGTAGCTCCAAGTACTCACGCAAATGCACGTTCACAAACAACTGGCTGATCAAGTTCCAACATGGACAAAGAGGAACAAAATGTTCAAGTTAAACATTAAAACAAACAAAGGAACTTTAAGGAATCTGAGGCCTGTGTGAAAAACAGATGAGCAAAAACAGAAATTGGCCTGATTTTAGACGGAAGTGGAACCTGACAATAAGAATATTTGGTTTTTACCGTCTCATGAGCAAATGCCAGATACAGTGCATCAGAAGCCCCCCCAAAAAAGCAAAAGGTTTCCTGCAGTAAACTGCATCACTTTTTCTACTTCAGAAAAAAACAAGAACTCTTACGCTGCAGGTAGTGCTGGGTAATATCTAATATAATGAGTCTCTAGCATACATTAATATGTGATTGTAGTTAAGCACTATATGCCCATCTGAGACTTTCCTCTGACTCTGAAAAAACGTAGATTTTGCTTCATCTACTTTTGGTCCAGACCCACAAAAAGTCTTTGTTTCATACTGAGGTGGTTCTGGGGTAAAACAGGGTAAAGTATCGGTGAGGAGTGGATAACTCAGATCAACATGCTCTCTTAAAGTCACAAATCTTCTCACTCTGAATGTCAGAGGAAAATACATCACCTGTCAAATATCTCCAGGTGAAAGGAAGAGTCTCTGGAGATTACAAATTTTGGGGGTTGGGGGGGGAAAAAAAAAGGGAAGAAGAAAAAAGAAAATTTCTCTATACAACCACTGCTTTACATCCGAGTGTCACCACAGCTTGGTACCACACCTCTGACCCTCAGGAACAATGAGGGTTGTGCAGAAGGTCCTGGTGCCTGCAGTGTAGAGAGATCCCTTCAGGGAGGGATGTGAACTTGAGGGGTAAAGATGGGGATTAAAGCCCCTAAACTATGTGTGGTGTGTGTGGCTCAGACTCTGAGGGTGAAGCTGCTGCCGTTTCTGCTGCTCCTGCACAGCTAGCTGCTGACACTGGTCCGATGTTGAGAGCTTGTTAATTAACGGAGACACACAGTTCGCCGGAATGATCAGTCCTGCATTAAAAACAACACAGAAATTTAAAAAAAGGTCTGAGCATAAGCTCGGTGTCTACACATCTGTAGACACCATGTTACATGTCTGTCTATTAAATAATAAGGCACAAAACATAAAACCAGGAGTTTCGCTGAGACGCCAGCTCTACCAAGATATGAGACTAGTTTCCAAAATATGAACTTCTCCTTTAGTACAGCAGTCACTTAACTTACCGACTATCCTCTGCCCATCTTCGGTTCTCAGCCGGACAATCTGCACCTTTACATTGGTTCCACTGACCGGGGTGAGCACTTCCTCCAGCTCATTCCAAACACTGAGCACTGATCCACACAAAACGTAGTACCTCCTGCACCGAAGACCAACTTCACACTGTAGACCCACTGACGCCTTCTTGCAGTTACCGCGCCTGACAACAGGAAAAACACAAACAGGTTTACAAAAAAAAAGGACCACAGAGCAATGGAAGCATCAAAGGTTGAAGCTGCTTATGTCCTCTCATTAAGTTGTCTTCATGACAAAAGAAGAAAAGTGTTGTTCTAAATACTGGCACCATTTTCATTGCCAAATTAATCTGCATTTGGTGCTCTGAGAAGTAGTTTCTGTCATCAACAAATGTGGGACTGGAATACAGTAAGCAAAGTAAGCACCATGCAAATCTGAAGTGCACATACCAATATGCGTGTGAGCAGATTTTTTCTGAAGACTTGTACTGATCAGTCCAGTGCTGCTTGGCATCTTCTGACAAGACCTAATACAGGGAGGGCAAAACACATATGATTCACAAAAAATATTCTGTCTTCTTCTTGTCACAGTTTAAATGAAAGAGTGTCATCTAACCTTTTTAAATTTCTTCTTGAGGTCTGCGTACGTCTCCAGTTTGA